TGGACGGGCGCCAGTTGGGGCTCATCTGGGGCGAGGTCGAAGTACACTGGGCACTGGGACTTGGGGGCCTGGATGCACGCCGAGGCGAGAGATAATTCCAGCGTGGTCTTGACTGTCTTGGTAAAACATGAGGGCGCAGCATCTGGGAGAAAACATAATCACGCCTCGCGCATCAGTTGATTTGCCCTTGCTGAGCTTGGCCGGGGACGAGGTCGGAGAGGTCGAAACCTCATGCAACTACGAGGGGGGCCTGGTGCATCTGGCCAAGCTGGGAGACGCCAGCCAAGAGCCTGACGTTGAGATCGTCGACGCCGTTCCGTGGGCTAAATAGATTCAGCAGACGCAGCGCGTGGCCTGGCACCTCCAGAGCCACGGCTTTAGCCCGCCATTTCGGCACGGTGGCTGGCGCTTCAAACTGTGCGATTCTGAAACCGAAACCTCCTCTGATCAAAACTGCGGTTCTTTTGATGACGGCCCCGCTGTCTCTGCGGACCTCCAAGGTCAAGAGGGCGTCGCGCCCCTTTGAGAGCGCCGCTGGGTGGCGTCAGTGGTCTGGCCATCTAAGAGCTTGACCTCCTGTCAACACAAGATGTGAGCGTCTTTCGCCTAGTCGGGCTGGACGGAAAGTCCCGACGCTCCCCCAACAGCTGCCGCGCTGCCTTCCTTACCTCTGCTCTGGTCCTGGCCCTGCGATCCTGGTGGATGGGCCTTGGTTTTGAAACGCCTCTGGGCCTCCCCCGCTGCTTGTCCGAGGGCACCTGGGGGCTCGAGCTGGGTGGCCTGATCCAGGCAACGCATGATGCGTTTTGCTTCCATTCCTGCGCCTTCGTCGAGGGCCATGTCGCCGAAGGGCTTGTCTGGATCCCCTCGGCGTTCTAGCTGTTGGTGACGGCAGGGGCTCTCGAGGGCGGCGGGGCTGGCGAGGGCGGCGGGGTCGAGCACCTCGGGTTCCCGGCGCTGTGGTTGGCAATGATGGCGAACATGGGCCTGGATGCGCCGGTGCTCTTTGTTGAATTTGTCGACCATTTCGTTGGTTGGTCTGGTTCTGAATGTCCTGGCTGATGTTCGTGCCTGCGGGGGGATTCTTCTGGGCAAAATCCTCCAAGGTGGCGTTCGCCAGGTCTGCAACTGGAGTGTGAACAGGCTGAGGTACTGCATCAGCTGCTGCGACGATGGTTTGAGCTGCTGCGGCTTGGACTGCGACCTTGAGCTGACTCTCGAAGTGCTGGGCCTCAGTGAGAATGTCGTTGCGCTCCTTGGCCGCGGTCGCGTACTTATGGGTAGAATTCTCGACTCCGTCCAAAAACCAGGCTGCGTCATTCTGCTTGCCCACCAGCCTCTGGCGCTGGGCTGCGAGCTGGTCTGACAGACTCTGGGTCTGCTGATCTGGTGACTTGGTGGCGAGGGCTTGGGCTTCGCGATCTTGAATCCCTCCAAGACTGACTGGTAGTGGGCGCCTCCAACGCCCGCGAGCTTCCGCCAGAATTGACGGTCTGGGAGCAGACATGCTCTGGACCCGCTGCGGCTGGTGCTACAGGGAAGTAATCTTTGGACGCCCGAAATGGGAAAAACAACGTGGGTACGACGCCCAACAGCAGTTGTTGTCAAAAACCGACAGCGGCCGCTGTCGGGCAAAAACGAACACTGTTCATAATAAACAAGAGCTGCTGATGGACTTTGTGTCCATCCTTTCCGGTGCCTGGTCCACCTGTTCCTGGAGGTCCTGGAGGTCGAACGGGCGAATGCTGAACTGGATGATGGGTTTTGCTTGTTGCCGCTGAAGCACGCACCACAGGTTCCACACTGTTTGTGCTATAGGTCCGTCCATGACCATCCCCCGCATGATGGGTAGGGACACACCACGCGGGTTCGAGCGCCACTTGGAGCGCGTCCCGATGGACGAGCAGGCGCCGGTGCGGGAGGGCGTGCAGCAGCAACTCAACGCGTGGGCTGTGGCAGCCGCGGCCGAAACGTATGTACGAGGTGTTCGAAATCGCAACAATGCTGGCCGTGGCAACCAGGCCTGCAGAAGGAGCTGCCCGTCTGCCTCGCCCCAAACCTCTGGGGTCGGGACGGAAGGTCAGCTCCGTCTTGAGCAAAACGGCTGCGGGGGGGGAAAAAAAAAATTACAGGAGGGGGCGCGGAGAAGAGGACAACGGGGGATGGTAGCGACGCCTCCGAACACCCTTCTCGTCCCCTCCAATCCTGTCCCCTCCGTCCCACCTGCATCTCCTCCTCCTGATCATCCCATCATCCTGGGGAAACCGCAAGGTACCAATACCGCAACTCCCCAAACCTCTCCCGGGATCCGTTCTGACCACAACTTCGAAGCGAATCCAGCAATGGCGACGAGGGCCTCCGAGGAGGCCCCAAAGGGAAAACCCAAGGAAAGGTAAAGGTATGGGTGCATTGTCCTTTTGTGTATCCCCCTCCTCCCCCTTTTCCTCCTCTTGCTCCTCCTCCTCCTCCTCCTTCTCTTCCTGTTGCTTCCCTTCTCTCTCCTTCTCCCCATCCTCTTTTCCCTCCTCCTCCCTTCCTCCTTCTGATCATCCGTTTCTTGTTACGTTAGACCGACATTCGGTGCTAGCCTGTTGCGTTTGATAGGTGCAAGTGAAAGAAAGGAATCATGAACGACACGGGTCAAGGAGGCACCTGGCGGGCGCAGCGGAAAATGAAGTAAAAAAAACAGAAACTAAACGTAGTGCGAAACGTAAGCGCCCGCCAGGTCTGCGAGGAGGGCACCAACCTTGATCACCAAGCATTCCAATGATCACAATCCCCCTTAATTAAGTAACATAGTCCCCCTGTAATCATAGTTAGTGTCTCCTCGGTGGCACAGAACGTTAAACAAGTCAACGCAATGACGTTCTTCGAAGGGCCTCCATGAGCCGACTTCGAGCGGGGTTCGCGGCTGCCCCGCCTCGTCCCACATGGAGAAGGGTCACAGTGCCCTCGGCGGGGGCAAGCCCCGGGCCCGCCCGGGGCCTGAGCAGCTTCTGACATAACGACCGACTCGACGACTAGATCGTGTTGCTACTGCCCGAGCGCGTGCAATTCAAGGGCAGCGACTGTGGCTCAGCGAAAAAAAGCGACTGACAATAGTGAAACAATGCCTGCAATACTAGGGCGGCTACCCGGGGCTTGTAGGCGCACCCGAAACCTAGTGCTATCCGACCTACTGCTATCTCTACTCCCGCACTAAATAAGGAACCTCCACCGCGTAGCCACTAACCCCCGTCCCTTCCACATAATATGTGCCATCTAGGCCGACTGCGGAAAGTAAATAGAAGTGTGCGTTGCGTGAGCTGCCATTACAGCGTCGAGAAAATAACCGTATGCCGAACGTTGCCAAGAGTTGCTGAGGCAGGCTGTGCTGCAACATAGTCACTGGAGCTCACAAAATATGGCGTGCGCTGGCTTCTTAAACATGTGTCCCACAAAACAGCCTCCGCCCATAACCAACCCCCGACCCACCCAACAACCCGCCACCCACCTCCCGAGAATCATGTGAGTGTCGTCGAGACTCAGCATGCAGTGCTTAGTCTAGCCTGATAGGCTCGCCTGTCTTAGCCGTAACTGAGGTACGGGCAATGTGGCGGAGCAAACATAAGGCCGTCGTGAAGAAAAACATGCAATGCAAGGGCAGCGTCTGTGGCACAGTGAAGGAAGCCACTTGTAATCATATGTTGCTGGCGTCGTGGAAATAATGAGGTAACTTAACATTTGGTGAATCGAGAGATGCGAAAAGGAGAGTCGTGTGAGCTGCCATAGCAACGCGCAGTAAAGTGTAGCAGTTCTAGGGTTGCCGCCCAAGGTTTTTGGGTTTACCCCGAACCACCTCGTTACTGGGACCCTCGTGCTTTTCGTTTGGTTCTTCCAAGGCTTGGCACGAACCCAGATTGTCCAGCAAGCAGTTTTATGAAAGGTGTCGCAGGCTGGCCTTTCTAGGCTGGCCAATTGAATAGAAAAGCGTGCCCTGTCTGTGGTGATCAAATTCTGCTGCCAAGACGCTGTGAGCTGTGCTCTCTGCGAGGGCTGTGCCGCTAGAGCTCGTGCGTGGGCAGATTGCTCACGTAGAGTCTTGGGCAACAGCAAATCAGTGTGTTCTGTCTGGTCCTGGCCACAGGGCGATCTGAGATGCGATGCCTGCTGTGCTGCTGTGATGCAATATCGTGCGACTGGTCGATCTGTACTTCAAAAAAGTGTCCCTCCTCTTCCTCCTCTGCTCTCCTCCTGCTCCTCCTCCTGCTCCTCCTCCTCCTCCTCCTCCTCCTCCTCCGCCCTTTCGCGTCGAGCTGGGGTCCGCTCGATCGGTCGGGGCGCGCACTTCGAAAGGGCGCAGCGCCTCGGAGCCATGGCGTCTCCCATGGTGGAGTTTCTGTGAAATGCACTCCATGGGGAAGCAAAGGTTCGTAGTATTCTTCATCATTGTGAAGGTGTTCGTCACGTACGGTGCATACTGTGCGGTGCCGTGCTTGGAGAGCGCATGCTGTCGGAGCGCGGTGTTCCCGAAGTCCGACTGGGAGGAGCTCGAGATCCACTTCCGGGGGGAGTCGCGTGGCGCATGCTGCGCGGGGCCGTGGACGCGCGGAGCGCAGTCGCCGCGTGAAGACGGCAGGGATTTTCGCACTTCGACTGGAAGGAGGCGGGAAAGGGTCGGTGGCTCGTCGAGCTCGGCGGGCTGCTCGGGAAGGCCTTCACGGTGTGAGGAGCTGCGGGCTATAGGCCTCGGGGGGGTGGCTGTGCTCGGGGGGTTCGTTCTTTCAGCGGGCCTCCTCTCGGCCCCTCCTGGGTGTCTGGGGCCCCTTGGGCCCGCCCGTCCGCTCCGCTGAAAGGCCCTAGGGTGCAGCTATCCCCCTGGGGCGCGGGCGGCGTGATGCTCTGCGGAGAGGGGGCCCTGCCCCGTGTAGTCAGCACACTCAGCACACCTCCTCCTCCTCCTCCTCCTCCTCCTCCTCCTCCTCCTCCTCCTCCTCCTCCTCCCCCGCTGAGGCCGTGGCTCGCCGAAGGAGCCTCCGGCCTCGACCACGCCGACCTTCTGAGGCTCCGGGGCCGTCCGCGACTCCCCGTTGGCCAGCAGGTTGGATGGCGAGGTCTTTCGGGGGGGGTCCCCCCTCCTTGCCCCCTCCTCCCGCATCCCTCCCCCCTCCTCCCTCCTCCCCCCACCCTCTTCCTCCTCCTCCCTCCCCCCTCCTACCTCATCCCTCTTCTTCATCTTCCTCCTCCCTCCTCCTCCTCCTCCTCCTCCTCCTCCTCCTCCTCCTCCTCCTCGCTCCTCCTCGTCCTCCTCCTGCTCCTCCTCGTCGTCCTCCTCCTCCTCCTCCTCCTCCTGCTCTGCGCACCTTCCCTCGACGCTGGCGTCGATGGTCGCTCCGTCCGTCGAGGCTGGGCCGGAGCCGCCGGAGGAGGCCCCGCTGCCGCAGGAGGAGGCCCTCCTCTGGCGGGCGCTGCGCCCACGAGGGCGGGCAGGCGGCAGGCCGCTGTGCGGGGGGTCGCCGGGGGACGTGCCGGCTGATTTCGAGGATGCCTCGCGTCGAGCGGCGATGGGGGAAGTGAGAAGGAGGAGGCCTTCTCAGAAGGCGGCTGGGCTTCTCGGAAACCCTTGGGCCTCCCGAGACATTGTCGATGTCTTCGGGCAAGGCTAAAGCAACTTCTCAGGAGGCCGGGGGTTTTCAAACCTTCTGAGAAAGCCCGCCCCTTCCCGCTTCCCTCCCGGCTTCGCCGCCGAGTCTCCGGGATGTTTTGTCCGTGCTCGTTCTATAAAGCGAAAAGAAAGGCTATGACCACGGGTGCTCTCTTCTCCACGCTTGTCCTCGGCTTTCCCCCCTGTCCTCCATGGCTCTGTCTCTCTCTCTCTCTCTCTCCCTCCCCCCGCAGGTCGCCAGGCCTGGCACAACCGAGTGCTGGAAAGAATTCGTCTTCGTCGTCGTCGTCGAAGTTCGAGCTTCGAACTGTTCTTCGGGGATTCTGCGTTATCCCTGGGCGGCGGTCGCTTCGTGAGGCCCTGCGGGAGGAGAGCTCCGGGGGCCTCTGGGCAGGCCTCTGGGCTCTCGGCAGAGCCGAGCCGAGAGCCGAGCAGCACCGTGGGCGCGAGGAGATGCAAGCATGAACTTCGCTGTTCCGAAGTCACTTGGCGGCGCGCACCGGGGGGCAGGGGGAGGGGGGAAGGCTTCTGGGTGCTTCTGAGAAGCCTTCCCCTGGCCCAAGGTGCCCTCCGCTTAGTTTTGGAGCCGCTGGGGCCCTCTGGGCCTTGTGAGGGGTGCTCTGGAGGCCGAAGGGCCTCGATGGAAATCGTGGGGGCACCTTGGGCCAGGGGCACTTCTGGCAACACCCGACCTGTGTGCGTGGCCGAGAAGCACACACGTAGAAAAGCAGCCTGGGCAGACGGAGCGAAGATCTCAGACAAGTCTGAAAATGTACGTTGCACGGCGTCTGGCATATCCCATTTTCTAGGAGGAGGAGGAGGAGGGGGAGGAAGAGGAGGAGGAGGAAGAGGAGGAGGAGGATGATGATGATGAGGAGGAGGAGGAGGAGGAGGAGAAGGAGGAGGCGGAGGAGGAGAGGAGGAGACGAGGAGAGGAGGAAGAGAGTGAGGAGCGTGGCCCCCACAGCGAACCCCAAGGCGCGCCAAGCGGGCCCCCGAGGGGCCCCGCGAGCCCTTCGAGCCCCCATTGGGAGCCCGCCGTCGTCGCGGAGGGCCGCGGGGGGCCGACCTGGCAGGCGGGGCCCAAGGGGGCTCTGGGCATACGACGCTTGGGCCCTGCAAGCCAGGACTGCGAGAATCCTGGCCGGAGAGGTCGGAGAACGGAGGAGGCCTCGACCCACCGCTGCAGAGTCTTCCCGGGCGCGCCGCCGCCCTGGCTTCCCAACGGGTCCCCGCCTGCGGGGCCCGGAGGCAGAGCTGCCTCGGCAAGGCCTTGTGCACGTTCCGCCCTGCGGAACAGTGCAGACCCCCAAGTCGGGAACTTTTGACCAGCGTTCCGCGGCGCCGGCCCCGGCGACACGCGCTATGCCCTGCACGCTGACAGCGCGTCGCTCCGCTCCGCGGGGCGGGAGGCCGGGCAAAGCTCTGGACGTGGACGCTCGAGGACTGGGACGTGGTTAGCGTGTCGAGACGAAGGGTGGTGGGCCAGAACTTGCGGCGCGACATACCAAGCCCAAATCCATGACCGTATCTAGACCAGCCTGAGATTTCATTCCCAACTGGGCGAACCAGCAACGTGCGCAACGTCCCATCGATTGGGTGCCTTCAGGGGGCCTGGGAACGCTCCTCCTACGCACAGCAACCGCTCCGAGAGGGTTCCAAAACCATCCTGAAACCGCAAACGGGGCCGTCAAACTCCCTGGATCCTGGACCTCCGGATGCTCATTCCATGGCTTCGCTCGGGAGGCACAAGACATGCTGTCAGAGTTCGTCGTTGTCGTCGTCGTCGCCTTCATCCTTCTGTGTGCTCTTCGTCTTTCTCTCTTTCCTCCCATATCCTCCGCTTCTTCTTCTACCTCCTTCTCTTCCTGCTCCTCCCCCTCCTCCTCCTCCTCCTCCACCTCCTCCTTTCTGGCACATACCCTGCGCAACCAAGGTTCACTATCCGCCCGCCTCGGGATCATCGGCTGCCCACCGAAGAGCTACTCGGATGTGAAGGACCAGAGCCATCGCTCCAGTCTGGGACACTGCAGCTGGGACCTCCTCCTCCTCCTCCTCCTCCTCCTCCTCCTCCTCTGCTGGTTGCTTCTCGGTGGCTCTGGCCCCACGGGGCGCTCAGGTCCCCTCCGAGGCGGCTCCGGGTGCCCCTCGCATTCCCCGGCGCGGGCGCCCCTCGATCTCGTCCTCGCTCGCCTGCTGCTGTCGCCCCTCCCCCTACCCATCTCCCTTCTCCCCTCCTCCCCCTCTCTCCCTCCCCCTGTCCGCCCTCGCCCCTCTCCTCCTCTCTCCTTCTCTCCCCCTCTCCCTCTCCCCCTCTCTCCCCCTCCCCCTGTCCGCCCTCGCCCTCGCTCTCCTCCTCTTCCCTCGTCGCCCCCTGTCCTTCCCCTTGCCCTGCCCCTCCTCCCCGATTCTCGAGCGGCTCGTGCCTCTTGGTGTCTCTGGCCTCCGGAGATGCACGGATCCCATCCGACATGGCCCCGGGGTCCCTTCGATGGCCCCGGGGTCCCTTCGGATCCCAGAGGCCGTCCTCAAATCCTGGTGCTGCTGCTCATCCAAGTCTCGCGCAGCCTGCACGGCGAACACACACACACACACACGCACACGCACACGCACACACGCAGACGTGAACACACAACACGCACAAACACACACCACACACACACAAACACTGAAACCGACACAGACACACAACACATACAACACACAACACACACACACAACGTACACACAACACACAACACGCAACACAGACACACAGACCAGACACAGACACAGACACAGACACACACAACACACACACACTACACACCACACACCACACACAGCACACAACACACAAACACACAAACACACGCACACGCACACGAACACGTTCACACACAAAAGCAAACAGAAACACAAGCACAAGCACAACCACAACCACTCACACAAACACACACAGACACACACACACACACGCACACGCACACACAAACACATACACATACACACACTTGAAGACGCACGCACACAAACACACACACACACACACACACGCATACACACACGCACACGCACACGCACACGCACAAAGACACAGACACACACACACAGACGGACACAGACACAGGCACAGACACAGACACACAAACTCACACAAATACACAGACACAGACACAGACACAGACACAGACACAGACACAGACACACACACACACACACATCCACCACACACACACGTACGCACGCACGCACGCACGCACGCACGCTTGTACGCGCGCTTGCACGCACGCACGCTTCCACGCTTGCACGCTTGCACGCTTGCACGCACGCACGCACGCTTGCAGGCTTGCACGCACGCTTGCACGCTTGCACGAATGCACGCAGACACGCAGGCACGAACGCAGGCACGCACGCATGCACGCACGCGCGCACACACGCGCGTACCCACACACAGACGCACCACACACAGACAACAGACACACATATACACAAACACACAGACATACAGACACACCACACACAGACGCACGGACACACAGACACACTTACACATTCACACACTTACACATTCACACATTTACACACTTGCACACTCACACACACAGCACACATCACACAACACACAGACACACATAGACGCACATAAACACACAGACACACACACACACACCACACACAAACACACACACACAGGAAGCGTAAACTTCTCATCCCTCCTCCTCTCCCTCCTCCTAGAGACACGCCTCCTCTCCCCCCCAATGCACCTTTCGCAAGCCCCGGGGCCATTCGAGGCCGCCCGCGCACGCCTCCAGGCAAGACCGCTGGCCGAAGCCAGCCAAAGAGGCTCTCGTGACATCTACGGGGACACTACCAGAAACTTGTGGGAGCATGGTCATGCATGCGCCGGAGTGCGACGGCGGGTATTCATGCATGCCAAGGCGCGAATTTCAGAAGAGACCGGACTGCGAGTGCGGCTGCGACTTTGGACGTGCACGCGTGCGGGGAGAGAAAGGACAAGGACGGGTGAGAGTTTGGAGGGATGGGGTTGAGGAGGAGGAATGAGAAGGCATGATGGGGAGGACGAGGTAGGAACAGTGGATCTGTAGGGGGTGGGGATACGAGCAGGCAGGCCGCGAGGCAGCGGCCTCACACGCTCCTCCTCGCCCCTCCCTGACGCGTGGGGCCTCGTCGTCGGCCTCCTCCGCAGGAGGGGCCACGAAGATTTCGAACGACCCTTTCTCCACGAGGTAGAAATAGTCGGCCTTGACGTCTCCCTGCTCGATGACTTTCTCGCCGGCCGGGATGTCCTCATCTCGGGAGGTCCAGACTGCATTCGGCCCCGTGCAGCGTGCATCGAGCGCCTCCTGCGCCCTGTCCACCTCCTCCCCCCCCGTCCGACTGCCCTCGCCCTGCCCCTCTCTCCCTCCCCTCTCAAGCCACTGCCGCCAGCGCCGTCATTCGCGCTGCTGCGTTCGTTCGTTCGTTCGTTTGTCGTCGTCGCCGTCGCCGTCGTTCCTGTCGTCGTCGTCGTCGTCGTCGTCGTCGTCGTCGTCGTCGTCGTCGTCGTCGTCGTCTGCGTGTCCTTTGTCGTCCTCGCCGTCGTCGTCGGTGGCATTGCCTTCTCTTTTCTCCCGGAGCCTCGGCCGTGCTCCTGCGCGGGGCAAAGCGCGCGAGGCCAGCCTGGCACCCTGGAGCCCTTCAAGGGGGGCCACCTGGATCGGCGGTGGACGAGCCTCCCTTCAGCAAGCCTCCCCCTAGCGAAAGCGGCCTGGGATCGGAACCGACGGACCTAGTAGACCCGCAGAAATGGCGGCCGCGACGCCCTCTCGCGAACCGAGGACGGCCGATTCCTGAATCGACGTGTCAGGGTAGGAGGTCTATCCACCTCCGACTGAAGTCCTCGAAATCCCAAGAGCCTTCCGGGGCCACCCAGAATCCCAGGGCCCCAGAGCCCTCCTAGAAACCTAGAGCTCCAGAGCCCTCCTGGAATCCCGGAGCCCGAATCCCGAAGCCCTCCAGGGCCACCCAGAGCCCGAGGGTCCCAGAGCCCTTCTGGGACCCCAGAGCCCCAGAGCCACAGGAGATTGCACCACACAGACGGGTATACTTGGACCGTCTGGATGCTGGCTTATGGCCTGAGGCCCTGAGTCAAGCAGAGATGCGGTCGCGTGGTCGTCTTCAGTTTCTCGAACCACTACGTGGGATAGCCTGTTCCTGTTCCTGTTCCCCTCAACTCTCCGCAAGCCCCCTCCTCCAGCCAACCGCGCTCCCAGCGGAACACGCATCGTCGGGCGAATCGGGAAGGGGCACCCCGAAAGCGACCAGCGCACCTGCGGGCGCGCGAGAGCGGGTCGGGGCGAACGGGTGATGGCAAGGCCCCCCTCCCTCGCGGTCGGTCGGTCGCTCTGCGCTTAAAGTGCTGTCGCAACGGCAACCCCATCGACCAGAACAACGGGTCTGACCCATTGCCGTTCGATCGGCAAGTCTTCCGGATAAGTGAAGTGCAAGGAGGGAGACGAGGATGGAGGACGATGACGAGGAATGGGAGTGTGGAAAGATAGAGGACAAGAAAGAGGGAAGGGACGGGAGACGACGGAGGGAGGGGAAAGAAGGAATATGGAGGCTTATGAAGGCCCTGGCCCCCACCTTGCGTCCTCTCTTCCTGCTCCTTCTCCGACTTCTGCCATTCCCCCTCCCCCGCTTCTCCTCCTCCTACTCCTCCAGATGCGTGTCTGCCGTTCTGCTCCTCCTGCACGTCGAACCCCCCTCCTCCGTTTCCTCCCTCCCGCTGCACTCCTGCTCCCGAGTCACCCAGCTCACACGCCAAGAGCTCAAGCGCACGTCGCAGCTGCATGCCTGGAGGGCGGCTCAATGTCTCAAGCGGGACCCTCGCCCGAGCAGATCGGGGACCTCGCTGGACACGCCGCTGACGCGCATGATCGCACCTGCTCGCATTCCACGTGATGCAAGGCAGTTCCTTTCGAGAACGGGGCCCTGGCCTGAGCGGCGTGCCTGCAGCGTGCTGGTCTTTCAAAGGGAGCGCTCGTTCTAGCAGAAGGGAAGGCTTGTAGGGCCTGGTGAGGAGGGGACTTGGGATGGGAGGTACTGCATCATTGTTGATGCATCTTGGTTTTCCTCTGATCCTCTGGTCCTCCTGTTCTCCTCATGTTCTCCTCCTCCTTCTCCTCCTCCTCCCTCTCTCCCTCCTCCCCCCTCTTCCACCTCCTATTCGTCATCCTCCTCCACCTCGTCGTCGTCGTCCTCCTCCTCCTCCTACTACTACCCTCCACACCTTCCTACTTCCTGTGTCCTCCATCCCCCTGATCTGTGTTTCAACCGTCTCTGTGTGACAACCCTTGGGCTGAAACTGCTCCTCCTCGCCTTTTCCTGCTGCTTCTCCTCCTCCTCCTCCTCCTCCTCCTCCTCCACAATTACTTAATATGAATACTACTCTCCCTCTTCCCCTGATGACGTCTTGGGAGTAGCCGCCCCCCCCCCCGCGTACTGTTTTTTACACACAAGTTTCCCCGGAGTTGGGTTTTCGCTTGCATTTTTTTCCAAAATGCTGCTCTCGCTGAGGCGCCGGCCTCATTTCGGGCCCCGCTCGTTCCGAATCGTGACTCCCGCTGCAGCGCTGGCCTCATTTCCGCCGGCGCCTGCACGCCCGAGCCGGCGCCCGGGCTGGCACTCGGGCCGGGTCTGGAGCCGGTTCCGGCTGGAGCCCGTTCTGGCCGGCGCCGGAAAATCGAGTTCCGAGGCGGCGCCAAAAAAAAAACATTTCAATACACATTTTTCTTTTGAAAATGCTGAATTTCTGCTTCCGGCGCCTGGGAAGTCCTCGATTCCGACGCCCGAGCCGGCGCCCGAGCCAGCGCCTGGGCCGGACGCCCGAGCCGGCGCCCTGGCCGGCGCCCAGGCCCGGTCTGGAGCCGGTTCTGGCCGGCGCCAGAAAATCGAGTTCCGAGGCGACGCCGAAAAATGGTCATTTCAATACACATTTGTCTTTTGAGAATGCTGAATTTCTGCTTCTGGCGCCTGGTAAGCCGGGCCGATTCTGGCGTGCTTCCGCTCATTCCGAATCGTGCTGCCGCTGCAGCGCGGGCTCGTTTCGACTCGTGCTCCCGCTGCAGCGCTGGCGTCATTTCCCGTGCCATGCCACGGCATGCAATGCAATGTTAGGTTCATACTACGCTTCGCGGTGCTCTTCTACGCCATGCCATGCCGTGCTCTACAATGCATCGCGTACCCTTTCGGGATCATTGCCCTGCTCGACATCCGACTGTGCGAGTAGAGAGGGGATCTGCGCCATGGTAAGGGATGGGAGGGAGGGGTAGGATGCCAGATATGACGCGAGCGCACCTAGCTTGTCCTCCTCCCCCTCCCCCTCCTCCTCCTCCCCCTCCTCCCCCTCCTCCTCCTCCTCGTTTGGCCCCTCGACTTCGTGATTCTCATTCTCTCCCCTGCTCCTCCTCCTGTGCCTCATCCCCCATCCTCATCCTATTATTTTTCCTCCTCCTCCTCCTCCTCCTCCTGCTCCGCCTTCCCCCTCTCGTTTTCCGCCTTATTTCTCCCCTGCTGCTGCTCCTCCTCCTTCTTTCCTTATTTCCTTTCTTCCTTCCTTCCTTCCTTTCTGCCCTCCTATCATTCACGTGGTGACTGCTTGCACTCCCAATAACATTCCTGACTCTCAGTCGTACGCACGCTCTTACCGCCGTCTACCTCTCATTCGGGCTCCCGCCGTCGGAATATTTGCGTTCGACAGATCCGCCTGCCGCTTGTTCGATATCCGCTCTTGGCGCGTACGCGCGTGCCAAGTGTCCGCTTGCCAAACGTATCTTTCCCTGCGGCAAATTCGCGTCGTGACGACTTGGGCGTTGGTTTCTGGCACCGTGGGGATCGCTCAACCTTGCACGATCGGCGGCTGTTCGATCGCTCGATAGTTCCATGTAGGCCTGTTCTGGGCCACTGGCGGCGTTCAACCTTGCACGCCCGCGGCGGGGTCACTTCCGGTCGACACGACGCGAACCTGCCGTAAACAACCTGTCTATACGAATCCAATATACGGTGTGTGATGGCCGGGGCGCAGGTGGCTAGCCCAAGAATCGGCGGCCCGCGCCGTCTCCCGCGCAGAACGGTCTCCCGCACACTGCGGTCTTCCGTGGGGTCGCCCGGGGGGGGGGGGGGGCGGTGTCTCCTGTGGGGTCTCCCGTGGAGTCTCCCGTAGGGTTCTCCGTAGGGTCTCCTTCAGTAAGCACGGAAGCGCAAGCGTAGAACGACCGATGTCTGGGAGATGCGCTGCTGGTCCCCGAGGCGCGGTGCTCGTCCGAGCGCAGTCGCCCTGGGCACGAGGAACGACAAGGCATCCTTCGGAGCTTCAAACTGTCAGTTTGCACACGGGGTCGGCAACTCGGCGCTGAGCCATCACGACCATACCAAGCCGACCTGCTGTCATTAATGAAAGGGGCACTTGAATATGTGATCGTGGGCGCCGCAATCGTGCATCACGCGTACATATGTGCAACCACCGCTGGAAACATATAAACATATCGTCATGGGCGTAACTTTGTTCGGAACGTCCCCTGTTACGATGCACCACTTTGGGCAACGCCTAGTTACCCAACCAAGTGTACTGCTGTGCCGAACTTATGCTGAGCATTAGCAGACAACTCATGTCGTGGCTCCTTCTCATATTATTGTATAAGTAAATCGTTTCAACCAATCCATTTAAGATGACAGGAACTGGAACAACAATGATAGCTTATTGCGTATGGCATTCGAGCGGGTGTCATGAACACTATGCAACGGTCCTTCTTCCACGCCGCGTCTGCTAGTAACTTGCAAGCCGCTTCGTCTATCTTTGTCAACGTCTGCAAATTCTGGTAGCCATTTATTCTGTCATCCCGTCAAGCATCACTGGCGTACAGCAGCACGTTCGCATCACATACACACCGTGTCTTGGTGCCGCGGCTGAACATACGGATGGCATGGAGACAATCACCCGCGCGAGGAACGGGTAACAACTTTGATCTGTTTTTTTGTCGGGGGGGGGGGGGCGGACCGCATGGGGAGCTTGTGTGGCTGGCCCACGGACAGCTGCCCAATATAACTCGAGCATACAAAGGCTCTCCAACAAATTCTAGGCGTGTTTTACAGGGTCAACCACCCGTCCTCCTGAGGCCCATGCGACACCAAGGGGTCCTAGAAGGCACTCAGGGCTCCGCTTAGTCTCGAAGTTCTGAAGCTTCTAAAACAAGTTTGCCCCGCCCAGGAAGGATCCCCCAGGGATCCCTAAAACCACTAAAACATAGAACATGTCTCACACCTGCAGATCCCGCTCGATCTCATACTCTGGTATGCTGTCTGGCGTGCGTAACACAACTCAAGTAAGAAACCCAGGCTGTCGCTCCTCCAAGCCTTTGGGTCCGGAAACGAACCGCACACACTGCGCTACTGCCCAGCGGGCTGCCGCATACCTGGAGTAGATGAGTAAAAAAGTCCTGCTGTCAGCAGGCGTCGTGGAGACGGGTCGTGCTGCCATTTGCAAGAACTGCTGCACGGCAGCAGCTGCGGCGCAAGGGCCAGCTCCCGCGCGCAACATGCCAACGGGTGTCTATAGCGCTCAGCGCAGTGCAACTGCTGGAGAGGGCCTGCCTCGCTCCCCCCGTGGTCCCAAGAATTACGGCGGCGGGGACGTCGGCGTTGGTTTCCAATGCCGCCTCGACCGATCGCGGCTCCCTGACCACGCGGCTCGCTCGATGCTGGCCGATCTGCTGGGCTGCGGGCGGCGTTCCACCGACCCCTGACCGCCCGCGCCCGGGACGCTGCCGCGTCGATGTGGCGCGGACCCGGCATGCCTGGAGCTCCCGTGGATCATGCGAACGTTTTCTTATTCGGCATTTCGACATTGGGCCGAACGGGGGGGGAGGGGGTGGGGTCTGGCTCAGGACCTCTGCTGAGTGCGACTGTTTGCAGCAGTGCATCCAATGGGGGAGACCCCATCGGCTTGAAAGAGGAGCCAAAGACAGCCAGAATCTACTCCATGGGGGGGGGGGGAGAGGGGGGTGCGAGGGCCCGCGCCGATCGGCAAAACAAGGAATACGAAAACCATCATCATCTTGGAGGTCAGCTGTTTCATCTTTTGGTTTCCAGCTTTGCCGCTGCGCACCCATCATGTCCCACATCCCAGGGCAATCTCCGTGCACTTGGGGGGGTGGGCGCGCAAGCGGCTGCATCACTCCCTCTGTTCTCGCTCTCCTTCGTCAGAGCTGCTGCACAAGCTCGCCATGACTGCCGTCGACTCCCGAAGTCTGCGACCCAGAAAACCCCAGCAATGCATCGCACTGGAGTGGACAAGCACTGCCGAGCAAGGCAAGACATGAAAATACGATCGCTCGGACACACGCGCCTGATTCTTCTTCAAGGCCGACACCAGGAATGCCGAGTCCTTCTCAGACTTGGGCTTGAAGGACATGCTCTTCTTCAAAGACTTATCCTTCCGGCGAACGTCATGGGATGGCACATCATGGCGTGCCAGCGTCACGAAAGCAATCATTACCCTAGCCAGGGAGCCACAGAAGAAACGATCTTACAAGTTAGGGGAACTTTTAAAATCATGGGCTTCGGGGGATGAGATAACTGGAGTGGAGTGACGGAGCCGAAGACGTCGATAACACGCCGTGGACGCTTACACCATAGCGACTACGATGATTGCGATGACGACGGGCATGGCACGACCATAACTATGAGGACGCTGCTGGCCATGAAACGCGAGACGCTGCAGATTCCTGGGGGAGGACGTGGCTGCCCAGTCTGAGGCACATACAAGCAGGATGCACGTCACTATGCATGGATGAGGGCAGGCCTAGTGATGTTAAAACGATCGCTTAGCACAACCCGCCATCCTCATCCATACTTGCACCTCCCATCCACGCATGATGTCGTCTGTGCGACCTGGCTTCAACATCTGTTGCTCCTCCCAAGAGCCCTGGACACGCCAACCGCATAGATCAGTCTGGCATCGCCCTGGAGGGGGTCGGAGACACCGTCGCGGTACGCTGCGCGACTTGCCGGGGGGTGCGCCTCCTCCCGTCCCATCCCGCTCCCTGACACCCTCCACCCTCCCTCCTAGCCTCCCTTCCCTCTCGCCTCCCTCCTCGCCTCCCTTCCTCGCATCCCGCCTGACACCCTCTCGCCTCCCTTCCCACCCCGCTCCTCGACGCCCTCCACCCTCCCTCCTCCTTCCGCCTCCTCCTCCAGCGGCGTCTCCGTCTCTCGCACACTGCTCGGCCCCCGTCCCCGCTGCCCCGTCGACCCGTCGGCCCCGTCTACGACACATGACGGGCCGTGACGTCTCCACGTCGCCGCTTTTTTCGGCGATGCAGTCCTCCTCCTCCTCCTCCTCCTCCTCCTCCTCCTCCTCCTCCTCCCTGCTCTCCTTCCTCCTCCTCCTCCTCCCTCCCCTTCCTCCCCTCTTTCCCCCTCCTCCCCCTCCTCCCCTCCCTCCTCCTCCTCCTCCTCCTCCTCCCTGCTCTCTTTCCTCCTCCTCCTCCCTGCTCCCCTTCCTCCTCCTCCTCCTCCTCCTCCTCCTCGTCCTCCTCCTCCTCCGGGTTTTCGAGGCAGACGGGTGCTCCTCCGCGACGGACCCGCGCACGGTCCCGATCACGTTCTGGCGCTTGACGAAGGTCAGCATCATGTGCAGGCCGAGCTCCTCGGAGGAATACAGAGTGTAATTATAGTGCGGGCGCGGCCGCAAGAAACCCTCGCAAGAAACCCAACCCTGAGAACCCGCGCGCGAGGTGCACCCGAGGGGAAACTTGGAGCACCCTGAACGCAACAACTCCTTCAACGGCCGCGGAAGTCACCGGGACGCGCGAGGAGCGAAGAAACCCAAGATACCCTGACGAAGATCAGATGATTTCTTGATGCGCGCCCCCACTGTACCATGAAGGCCGACCTGAACATCTTTCGCGAGCATGTGATCTCTGCGCTTCTCCCCAACCGGGCGGCGGTGGACAGCAAGCACTTGGGGGTCTTGCAGTTCGCGAACCGATAGCACTGAGCCGTTGATGAGCGGCCTACGAGCATCCGAACACGACCATGTATTTTTCACCCTTCCGTGCGCGGCCAGCGAGGGGTGGAAATGAGAAGGAGAAGGCCTTCTCAGCAGGCGGCGGGACTGCTCAGAGACCCTCACGCCTTCTGAAACAACTGATTTTGTCTTCGGGGAAGGCTCGGAGAAAGCTTCTCAGAAGGCCGGGGGACTTCCAAACCTTCTGAGGAAGCATTCTCCTCCTCACTTCCCCCCCTCGCTCGCCGCCGGTTCCGAACACACTACACTCGACCAAGATATTAAGGATGCGCGGTAAGGATGCAATGGCCTTGGAACGCCATGTTGACGTTTTCTGTGCGGAGCGCAGCAGAATGCCGAAGGATGCCGAATACCGAAGGGGCAAGGATGCAAGGGTAGCCTTGGAACGTTGCCCCATCCTCAATATCATGGTTGCCTGTACGGTGGGGGCATTGGACGAGGAACCCTCAGATAAGGAATCCAGGGTCTGGAAGCCAGGGGCACTCCAACAGTGGATCGGCCATGGGTATCACCGCCGCCCCCCTTGGACAAGGAATCCCCCAGGGTCGACATCCTCTTGGGCACACTCCTTCACGAACGCCCCCACTGTGTAGGACACGCCCAACCTCACCACGAGGGTCGGCGGTGGACAAACCTCCCTTTGGTAAACCACCCTTTGGTGAAACCGGCGTAGGACCGAAACCGACGGACCTGGACCCGCAAAAATGATGCCCGCGACGCCCTCTAGCGAAGCGAAAACGGCACATCTATTCGACGTGTCAGGGCAGGAGGTCTAGCAACCTCTGCGAGGGGAGGGCGGAACGGGTCTGCACGGACTCTCGCGCATCGCGCGCCGACCAGAGGCCAGAGGCTGGCGTCTGGATCGTCGAACCCCAATGCCTCGGCTGCACGCAAGAGTGACCCTGGGCAAGAGTCTAGAGCGACCTCTGGTGCGCGGCCTCCGGGGAGCCGCGGAGGGGCCAAGCCCCAGGCGCGCAGAGGCGCTGCCATCGCCTCGCGCTCGGCGATCGGAGGGCCCCAGTGGGCCTGCACCAGAGGTCACTCCGGCGAAGGGTCGATCTTACGTGCAGTCGAGTTCCTGGGGGCCCCTCTTGGCGACGGAGCGTGAGGACCCACTCGGGTACTCCCGGGCCGAGCCAGAGAGAGAGGATGAGGAGGGGGGCAGAACGCATTTACCATGAGGAGAGAGCAGCTGGGTCTGCCTCGCATGCCTGCGCATACGCTGGGGGAGGGGATGCGTGCACGAACAAAGCGGGCACTGACCATGCCGTCCAACACGTGTGGCCTCTGCTCAACAATCAGGCAAGACAACCACACGGTTTGTCGCATAACAGTTCGTGCTGCCTGACAGGCCGTACTCCAGATGGTACGTGGGTGAAGGAGCGCGTATGACAGAGATGATCGCATACTTGCCACGGAGCGGCCGTTCCCTGAACGCTTAGCTCGCCCATTGCGGTGCCTTCCCCTCGTCCTCCTGCTCCTCCTCCTCTTCCCCCATTGGGCTAATCATGGACTTCTGACACACTCAGGCAAGGACACGACCCGGCCGTCTGCTCCTGTGCCATGGGCGAAACGGCGGACAACGCATGGCATCGCTTCGCAAGGCCGGAGAAATAGAGGAAGGGAAGAACATGACGATGACGATGATGATGACGATCACCACGATGCTGATACCGATCGTGATGATGGTGATGATGATGCTGATGCTGAGGATGAAGATGCTGATGATGCTGATGATGCTGATTGTGGTGATGGTGATGAGGATGCTGATGCTGGTGCTGCTGATGATGAATACGAAGTTGATTATGTCGATGATGATGAGGATGATGCTGTTGACGATGGCAACATATGATGACCCTTCTGATGATGATGCTGACGATTTGATGGTGATGCTGATGTTGATGATGATGGTGATTATGGCGATGATGTTATGGATGCTGCTGCTGCTCATGCTGCTGAAGATGATGATGCTGCTGCTGATGATGATGACCATGATGATGATTATGATAATGATGACTATGATGCTGATTATGATGATGATGGTGATGATGATGCTGCTGATGATGATGATGATGAAAGAGATGATGATGGTGATGCTGATGATGATGCTGCTGATGATGCTGATACTGGTAATGTTGCGGCTGTTGCTAGTGACGATGTTTCTGATGATAATGGTGATGCTGATGATGAGGAGGAGAAAGATGCGTAGGTGGAGGTGGAGCAGGAGCATGGAGAGAACGAGAGACTAATAATGATGGAAGAGGGGTGCGAAGATGGAGAGAGGGAGTCAACGATGATGAATCTGATACATGAAGATAGCTATTTGTGAGTAGGACGAATGGGGGAGAGGAGGAGGATAAGGAGGAGGAGGAGGTTTCCATCAGCGATCCCTCGGGGCCTGAACGGTTTATAATCAAACATCGCTCCAGTTTGGAGCAAGAACACGCTGTCGAGATGCGTCGCTTCGCGGCGCTTTTTCGACCAGCACTGGTTGGGCGCGACGCGCCAGTCCTTGCCACCGCCGTTGCCTCGCGAACCTGAATCCGAGCCTGCAGTCGGAGTGCCATTCACCTCCGCGCTCCTGGAACATCGGGAGGCGCATGCACAAATGTTTAGCAACTTGGGAAGTCTGGGGTATAACGTCAAGAACTGTGGCTTTAGCGTAAGCCGTGATAGTGTCCCCTGGCCCTAAGAGAAGCCAATCATAGGCAATGTTTCCCCCGGGCGAGAAGAGGATGGGATTGTGGGCATGTGCAGGAGGGGGAAGGCTGGCTTCAGGATGCTCCCGTCGCAAATTATCAAAGAAAAAACGATACTCGCTATCAAGAGCCTCGGCCGGAGGAGGAGGAGGCAGGAGGAGAGGGAGGAGGAGGAGGATGACGAGCTGCAATAATACGATGAACAAGCGTCGCCCATCAGATGGGGAGGACGAAGAGGTACGGGAAGAGAAGCGAGGTCGCCTCTTTACCTTGAATATGTCGCCGCGCCGTTTGTTCTCGACGCGCCCAAGTGGACAATGCCGACACCACGGCAAACCCACGGCAAGCCCTGCGACCCGCGCCCCAGTAGACGACGCCGCCACCGCGGCAAACCCAACGGCGTGCCCACCGCGTCCGAGGCGACGCGTGCCCTGGTGCCCGCGGCGCCCTCCCCAAGACGTAAAGCCGCGCGTCGGAAAAAACGGCGCGGCGACATGCAGCAGGAGCTCGGCCACAAGAAAGCTTCCACAAGAAACCCAACCCTGAGACCCAGGACGTCCATTGATTCTTGGTTCGGGAACGTTGCACTTTCCATCGAAAAACCATCGAAACCCAAGAAACCCAGGGGACACTGGAGACAAGCAAGGTGTTTCTTGGCATGCTTTTTTCTGTATGCGCTTCTGCCTCACGTGTTTGCAAGTTCGATGAAACATCAACCGCGACCGCAACAGCCGCGGCAGCCGCCAGCCCGGCCGCCCCGCGCGCGCTGCCCCAGGGCTCCTGAAACTTCTCGCGGCCTCGGGCGTGACCCAGGGGGGGCCGTCCTCCGCCTCCTCCTCTTCCTCCTCCGCCTCCTCTTCCTCCTCCTCCTCTTTCTCCTCCGCCTTCTCGTCCTCCTCCCTCCTCCTCCTCCTCCTCCTCCTCCTCCTCCTCCTCCCTTCTCTCTCCACCGCTCTCTCCGCTCCTCGCCATCCTGCCACTCCCCCAGCTATGAGTGTTCTGACGATGTTTCTCAAAAGGTCTCTGGCGGGGACGATCTAAATACCCTCGGCCGCACGTGTGCAACACACTCAGAAGATCTAACCGTTTCAGTCACCGTCTGAAGGCTCTGTCCGGAATGCGCTTTTTCGTGTAAGGCACGGGGTTTATCAAACTAGATGCGCCCGATGCCCTCGTTCCAGCCAGACGCATCGTTCCTCCATGGGAGGGAGGGGGAGGTGGAGGAGGCGAATGAGGGAGATGGAAGAGGCTGGAGAGGATGCGGAGGATGTTGGGGGGGGAGAAATTGCGAACACAATGCCGACAACCTTGAACAACCAGACGGACAAGCACCTGATGGGCCGGGGCCAGCGAGGGCCCCTCCGCCCTCGCATGATTTTGATGCCGCTCTCCTCTCCTTTGGGAAAACCCCGCGCAAAAACACGTGATCTCGAACTCGTTTTGCCTCACCAGACCTCTGACGTCGTGTTTTTTTTTGTTTTTGTTTTTTCGCAGCGCGGACCCTTCCCAAAGATCTGGACCTCTTCCCTGGCACCGGTTTCACATCCCGAACCGCTCTCTGACGTCCCGGGGGCCTGGTGAGGGGCACCCAGAGGCCGAAGACAGCCAAAAGCTTTCGTCGTGCTTCTTTGTTCTCCCACGAAGCGAGGACATCAGGGCCTTAGTGTACATATTGCAAAGTATGTATGTGTATGTGACTATGTTTGTCGATGTTTCTTTTGTGTTTCGTGGTGTGATTTTTCATTCCTGCCGAATAATTATGACAAGTTGTGTGTTTTTCCCCAGATCATACATGGAATTCTTGTTTTCTCTGCGCACCTCCGCGCAGGATTACGTCCCACCTCTTCTGCACACTCATCATCAGCAGTACCACCATCACCAACATCAACATCATCATCATCAGCA